AATTGTTTTTTTGTAAGCAATACGTACAATAATTTAAGTTTCAATATAGCAATGTCATTTACCCATTGTTGTACATCACTAACCACGTCTTACTCTAATTAGGAATTTTATCCTTTTTATAATTACTATCATAATTAATTGAATTTATAATTAAATTTTAATCAATTCAAAAAATGGTCGACATTAAAAACGTTAACAATTTTTAAATTGATACATTAATGTAACTATAAAATATTATACACAGTGATATAAAAATACCGTATTTTATTTTTTAATTGTATAATACGTGTATTATACAAATATCATACGTATATAATACAGTATTTTACAAAAATGTTATGGTGTTTACATAATTGTTATATATATATATATAACTGCCGGAGTGTAATAAGAATGTAAAATCGCTAATATAAGACATTATTAGGTCGACCCATAGTAAAAAAAAACAGTAACTAACGTTTAGGAACTTCGAATTAATCGTATTGTAATTAATTGTATCTTGCAGCCTGTATGTAATTAAATATAATTAATAGAATTTAGTATAATGTTATACTGCAGTCTACTGTCTACGATTATGACTTATGACTTAGCACTTATCGCACGTATCATTACGATTTACAAATATTTCGACAAGAATCATGGAACTTAAGATAATAGATCTATCGTCTATGTCAAGAATAGTTCTTTATAATGGACAATGATGCTTATTCTTTATAATCTCTTTTCTATGATCGATGCTATCGGCAACCACCTAAGTAATAACCATGTTACTTATGTGGCTGTGCTCTGTTGTTTTATTACTGTTATCAATTATCAGTGTTATCTACCATTTATCGATTATCACTGATTTTTTTTTATACCACTTGTATTTTAGTTTTTTATACATGACGTATAATACGCCATTATAATACAATATACAATATGTATTATACAATTTACATTACTGATTATACATTTCGATATCAAAAGCTATGTAAAATTAATTCAAAATATTACATTTATTATATTCACTACAATTGTTTATTTGGCAATGACGTAATATTTAACTGTTCGACACGTCAAATATTAAATTTGTACCTACCTACATATTATATGTTCCTAATTTGATGCTTTAAGTTTAAATTATTCCAACGAGAATAACATGTTAAACATTTAAATTCTAACTTAATAAAGTTCTCTCTGTGTGAATAATTAGAATGAAGAAGTATAGAGGAATATGAGATTTGATATGCTTACATCATCCCCACAGATTATATTAATTCCATGCCATCACACTTTTATGTTTTTTGAAATATCAAACATCATTATATTTTTATTTCACTATAGTATATTTATAAGTAATAAGAATAACTATCTCAATAAACTAAAATAATTAGATTTTTTTGTTTATCGTAACATAATTTATAATATAACTCTCTAATGCAATTCTGCAATGTGAACTTGAACATAAATGTATAAAATATTTATTATTGGTTAGTAGATAAAAATATCACAAGGAACGTTTTGATTTTATAATTATTTTTTGCCATTACCATTTTCTTATTTTTGCATCCAACTTAAATTATTATTATAACATAAGTCTCATAATCTTGCATCTTAAATTAAAAAAAATATCAATATGATATACAGAAAACTCATATCTGCCAATATTCATTATTGAAATAAGTTAAGAATAAATATGACGTTGAAATGCAGTAAATACTGGGTTGAACTTTTAATAATAATTTTTCTTCTTCTTCGGTAAAACTCGGCCACTAGAATCAGGATGACATACATCCTTGCCTCCAATTTTCTCTATCCGATGCCTATATTCTCCAGTCTACTTCTCTACCTAACGCTTTTACATCATTCCTTACTCCTATTATTTTTAATAATCATACATAATATTATTAATAACAATCATACAACTATATAACATTTTGTGTGTCAATGATTTTACTATATGTTACATCAGTGGTGGCCAAACTTTTTTTTCCTCGGGCCATAAAAAACAACTTTTTTTTTTTATCGCTGGCCATAAAAAAATGCATTCTAAATTTTTTTTTACGTAAATGCAAAATATTACAGTTATACAAATAAGTGCTCTAATATAGAAGACTTTCGCGGGCCAGATATTAAATGATGGCGGGCCGTAGTTTGGCCACCACTGTGTTACATAATACATTTAAGTATAGCTGTACCCATATAATAATATTCGGCATAATGTATACCATCACACATGCCTTTTATACCAACTTCCGGTCAAAATCATATTTTAAATGCAACTGATCATTCATTTTAAAATTAAATTTTTTAAATAACACTATTAGTGCAATAAACAATAAGTGTCTAGTAATAACTTAGTAGTATGTATTTTACCAATTTTTAATCATTACGAAAGGTGTAATGGTCCTCAGTGATAGAAAACAACATGATTTAATTTATTACTTTTTATTTTCTGTATATATATATATATATATATATATATATATATGTATGTGTAGATTTATTAAACTATTAAATTTAATAACTATATTTAGATCTCATAAGTTATATATCTTTACTATTGTGATATTGTTATTTATAGTATTTTAATTGAATTACTTATTATTATTGTAAATGTGGAGACTATATTTTTTTTACTAAGAGCTTTAATAAAAAAAAAAATAGAAAAATTTATTAAAACGTCAAAAAGTGGTAATCAAGTTAAAATTATGATTCTATCGGTCTATAATATATTTTTTAAAGAAATAAATTTCCACGTACCTATTGCTAAATTATTCTACTTTTAATATCAAAATACGTTTTGAATTAGAATTACCTTTTTGACTTTTCTGATTTTTTTACACGAATTAAATCTAAATCGGTTCAACGATCTATAATTTATAGATAACTATTAGTTTTTGGTACATCGATCTAGCGTCTTGGCGTCAAATGGGATAGTAAATAATATAGTTTATTTTTAAGAGAGTAATATTATGTTTAATATCATTTTTACTTTGGTTCTATATCTACTTCAATTTTACTTCTTGTTCCTATGAAAACGCTTTATTATTATATAAATATAATTTAATGCGTTAGCACTCTCAGTACATATACTGTTAAATATTTATATACATAAATATATGCGTTATTCACGATACGTTGCCAATTTTCATTATTTCTCAGTGTCTAAAAAAATACTATTTTACTAATGAAATTATAGTCATAACTTTTGTTGTAAACAAGTAATAAAATGTCTATCATGTTAATTAAAGTCATTTTTTCCATAAAATATTACATTTAAATTTTAAAAATGGTACAGTATTGTATTCGGCGTCACTTTTCTTAAAAAATTTAAAATTTTTAATTATACAACTGTTACAGTTTTATACTCTGTTAAGAATTCAAAACTTTTACTTTGGTCCATGTACGATAAAATGATTAGAAAAGGGTCGTAATAGAACTTTAATTCTATAGTTCTTGAATACCTTCGCCACTAAATATCCAAAACAAATGAAGTTATAATGCTTGATAATATTTGATTATATATTATGAAAATATACTGACAGGTTATAAATTATAACTAATAACTATAAAGAACGATCAGCATAACGGGGTGGAGTGGTTAATCATCCGCAGTCGGCTTCGGTTAAACCACTCCACTTTAGTACTCTAAGTGACCAACCGAGAATTTAATGATTTAGCGTGCCTTTATCTTATATTTAATAAACTATAGTAGAGCATAAAAAAATAATATATTCTAAGTACGAACATTAGTATACTAAAAAATAAATCTATAATTAAACATCAAAAAAAAATATGTGGAATATTTAATACATTTAATCCTGTCGCATCTACTGCATATAGTAGTCTAAAAACTTTTATTGTCAACACTTATCATGACAAATGGCATTATTACTGTAATTTAACAGGGTCACTATTTTATATACAAATAGTATTATTAAACTAAGTTTATAATTTTCCAGTAACAAAAAGTAATGTTGTGGTATAAAAAAATGTATATAAAAAAAAAACTAGCCACAATGATGTTACTTCATAAGTAATTTCGTTATAGTAATTTATCATTTATGTTATTTCCAAACATTGCTATTCGCCTAATACAAGTATTGTACTCCATGATTGTCGAAACATGAAGTTCAATGTAAAAATAATAAGAAAAAAATAAATAAAATATAAATACAAATCTTCAAAATCAAACGATACTTAAACTCAATTTATACGAGAATACAAGTAATATAGAACATATTTACAATACAAAAGTATATAAAATTAAATGTATTGTACAAAATCTTTCAAAAACAGTATGTCAATTTATTATAAAAAAATATATACACAAAGATTTTTGTTGATACCTACTTGAAAAATGTAAAAAAGAAATTCTGAAGAGAACATGAACCAAACTTTTTTTTTTAGTAAAATAATATAAATTATAATGAACGGAAGAGTTATTTATTATTTGGGAAAAATTAAAAACTGTTTAAATATTTTAAATACAATTTGTAAGAATCTTCTTTTAAATATTACGGAAAATAATAACATACAAATATTTTTTTTAAATATAATATTCATATTTATATTTATATATAACCTATATACGAGTATATTAAAAAATGTATTAAAAATATAACTAATTATTCTACCAATTGATTTAAAATCCAATTTCGTATTATTAATGATGCACTTATAATTGTAATAGAAATATAGCAAATCTTATTTTTACAAAAGCTCTTATTTTAATGTTTAGAATATATAAACATTAGTACAATAAATATACTTTTGTTAAAATAAAAAACAATTTTGATAGAGCATATAACAGAAAAATGTATTAAATTAATAATTGATTTGAATCAACATATTTTTAAAAATTATAATTGTGAACTAAATAAAAAAATTATTTATTTTCTTTATTATAGCTTCCTTTAGATTTAGTAATTAAAATTTTTCAACTCTAATAAATACTAACTGTGTATTTTTTAATTAAATTTACTAACTATAGTATAATTGATTTGTTTGTGTAGTTATCTCATTGTAACATGAGAAAAATTTCTCTAAGTAATCTCACGTTGGAAACTAGTGGTATGTACCGATGTGAAGTCTCAACAGAGGGTCCGAAATTTGAAATGGTTTTTAAATCTGCGAACATGAATGTATTAGGTAAATATCAAAAATGGTTATTAAAATTTTAATTAATGTTTAATATATATTTGTGTATATTTTATTTTTTAAAAAAAATACTCTAGGCCTCACTGAAAAATCCGTGAAAAAGGCCCAGGGTAATTATTATAATATATGAATAAAATGTGTTATACAATTGATGTGATACAAAACTGTTATAATAAATACAATTCGCATGTATATAAAATAAAATATTACAAGATTAATGAATAATAATTAATGAATATAACATATAAATAAATATTTAAGAAACAAAATAAAAAAAGTTATGAATTTGGTAATAAATGTCATAATGTATCAAAATCTGTCTTAGTGTCTATTAAAATAATTTTATTATATTTGTGTTATGGTAAATGAATTACATTTTTTGATATTAACGAAGTAAATTTTATTTTAATAAATCCATTTTAGATGTCAATTTATTGAGAAGTTATTTTTAGCATACTTAGCATAACGGGTTTTCAACAAAATTTTAATTGATTTTAGATAAAACTATTTGCCAGAAAATACTTATACATTTTTATAAAAAAAATTTTTTTGGTATCTAGCTAGTTTTTCTAAGGTGAAAAAAATCAAAAAATTGTAAAGGAATAATAATTTGTAATGAATCGTAAATAACGTGAAAGAATTTTATCAAAGAAAACTCCTTATTTTATTGAAATTATTAAATAATTAAAAATTAAATTTAAATTGTTTGTAATTATTTAGCCAACGGGTCTCAAATCAATTAATCTTAAATCATTCTCACTTAATATATTTTGTGACTGTTATTACATAAATAATTTTTCTTATCTTGTTTATTATTGAATAAATGTATTCATTCGATTTATTTAATATCAACAAACGTCCAAGCTATTTGTTTTTTCAGATCATTTGCTATTTTCTACATATGGTAGGTAAAAGGACAATAATGTCAAATTTCAGTCAATTATAACCATTTGTTTTTTATTTTATATAAAATAACGTCGCAGCTAATCGCGTTAAATGCTCTAGCTCAACAAGATTAATGATTACAAATTTTTCTGTGCTGAAGTTATCGTAAATATAAGATTTGTTATTTTAGCTAAAAGCTGTAACTAAAAAAATTTTGACAACCTCTAATCTCGGACTAAAATTCAATTGAATTTCAAATAATATATTATTGGATTCTATGTAATTAACTAGTCTGCTCTCGGTGACTCGGTAAAATTTTGCTACACTAGGTACTAAAGAATATTTCATTGATTATTTAATAAAGAATTTCACATTTTTTTATGAATAAGAATTGAAAGCGTCGAAAATACAATTGTGACAAGTTAAATTAGGGCGAAATTTAGGGGGCACTGGCTACAACTACCCCGGGCGCCAGTTTTTTGGGAGCGCCAAAATTTTGTGGTCAGAAATTTGCTCACTTGTGAATTATTGAACTTTTAAAATTATTTTGAAATTATTATTTTTTTATTTTTAATAACAGTATCATAAAGTTAATGTATTTATAGCAATATAGCTATCAGCAGTCCAGAATATTATTAATATACCTACCTAATATTAGTTCCCAAATTTGTTATGATAATGTCAATAAACATAGGTTATTTACAATAATAAGGCGTATTATGTTATCGTGTGCGGCATACGGTGGCATGGGTACTACACAAAAATAGCACTGATTTTAGAATATCTAAAAGGTTCATGAGGATCTATCTCCTCGTATATTTTCCGTGGGTAGGCCCCTTAGAGGGGCGTCAATTTTTTTTTTTTTGCACTGAAGCGCAAAATGTCTAAATACGGCACTGAGTTTAATGTTTACATACTATATATTAACGATGCTCAGTGCACAAATTATGAATATTATAAATATCATAATATATACGTTCTATGAAACATAAAACAATAAAAAATAAAAATCTTGATTTCAACTGTAATGAAAATTGAATGTTATTTTTTTCATACAATTTATTATGCTTTATCTTCAATATAAAAAGAGAAATAAAAATGAAAATGTGAGAAGAAAGTTACTGAACTAGTAAAAAATAAAAAAATAATTATTTTAAGTATAGTAACGTCCAATAATGGTTATTTTTAGGTTTAGTTGTAATTATCCTTACAATTTTTATTGAGAAATTTTTAAAATTGAAGTTATATTATCAATTTTTAAAATCTAATCAAAATATGATTATTAATAAATTGTAAAATTAATATTTCAGTTTTCACATTTTTAATTTAATTGCAAACATCAAATAATACTTTTACAGTAGTTTTAAATAGTAAACAGTGACTTGAAAAAACATTTCACATAAAATCATAATTAGGAAATGTAAAAACATTTTTTTTCGACTAAAAAATGAAACACATATTTTTTACAATCATCCATTTTAAGGTAAACTGTCTATTACACTTGAATATATCATTATTTAACATAGGTGTATCTACATAGAGACGTAAAATGTCTTACGAGACTGATTTATATGTTGTGTAAAATATTTCAAAACTTTTAAAAATTCTGTACATCGTATACATAATATATATATTATGTTATATAGCTATAAAAACAATATACATGCATAAATAATTGAAAACTGTACTAACATTAAATGAAAATAAAATAAAATACACACTATACGAAGATATATTGTAAGAGTACCGAGGTAATAAACAGCTCCAATTGCGGGTACGCTGAAGAAGAGTGCGTGTACAATAAAATAAAATTATGAAAAATGAAGAACAGGAAACAGGCAATATATACATTTTTATTTTTCAGTCTTTATTTATTTAATTTAAAATACTTCAGTAAACTAATAATCTTAAAAGTTTAATAACATTTAACAAAGTATATCGTAGGCCATTCATGTAATAACTGCCTTGATACTAATGTTTATAAAATAATTAAATGTTCCAGTAATTAGGTATAGCAAAGAAATTAAATATAGATAAAAATATTCGATGTTGAAATTAATGACTAATATGGGAATTTTATTACGAGTTTGTTTAAAATTACGGTAAGTAAATAGTGTTTAATAAGATTTTGAACGAATAGTTAGTTTGGCGGCTCTTATGCTGACGTATGACGGACCAAACGAGCTAGTATTGGAGGTAGACACATGACGACGTATGGGGACGTGTTTAGCTAAAGTTTTACCTTTTTTTGTTTATTTATGGAATCTGTCAGTTTTTTGTATAGTTTACAACCTTTGCATAATACTTTATGTGCATCGGAGCATAGTAAACATCCAGTCGAGAGACTATGATTTTTGTTGCACTTTTCAGTTAAATTATCTTTACCACATTTAACGCATATATATAGTGACTACAGTAGTTACGCGTATATATGGTCATATGTGTGGACTATTTTGTTTTGCGTGTGGTTTTTCAATAACTGCAGTAGAGTAAAATAATGTATTCATTTTGAAAATAATTTCATTGAGAACCAATTCTACGTAGAACAGTGGTGAAAAGGTGATGACTCTTCTTGGTATTAAACCACGCACAGTGCGCTAGTTTGGCCATATTGTAGGATGATGGAGATTTAAAATGACCACCTTGAATTGGCGTTTGAAGTGCAGTCGAAAGGAGTGAAATTCTGCATAGGAATCGCTTAAGCAATCAATTGTTATAGTGTACGTCATGCAGTTTTTGAACTAGAGTATTAGGAATGATGTGGACTCACAAAAAAAATCGTTAATCCCTATGAGTGATATTAGTTTCTTGTTGAATATTGAGAAATTGGTGACGTTCTTTACATAAATAACCAATGTTTGAATGTTGTTAGGTAGGACTTCGGTTTGAAGTAGTTGTTCACACCCAACTGTACGTTATTGATAGGTAGAAATAACTCGGATTTAGTTTTGGTTTCTACCTTAACCAACGCAGTGTAGCAATTTAATAAATCAGCTAAATAATTTGATAACTTTTTAATCTTATTAGAAAGAACTGAAAGATGAGGACAAATATGAGGACAAATGCTATAGTTTTCATTTAGTTGTATGTGTTGATCGAAACGATGTCATGTTAGACGAGCCCAATGCGTGGTATAACGTAGATATGATACGTAGTAATACGAAGTTTGCGGGCGATTTACTTCGACAAAGGTGATAACGGAACTCGATTAGCATACCAGTGCCTGGGACGGTAGTTTTCACCACACTAAAATGCATGAAATGTACTCGCAGAATTAATTATTAATCGGTCGAGCTATAATACGGTTATCGAATGGAGTACACGTAATTTTGTTTCCTCGGTTCCATTAAGATTTAATACCGGTAGTCATGTTATTTAAATCACAAACAGTTTTATTCTATCAAAAGGATAATATTATTTGAAATAATAACCTAAAATTCGTTGTAAAGATTATTTTATTCAAAACAATTTAAGGAAAAAAAATATGATGGTACTTGTATTCATTTTTCAGAACTTAAATATTATAGTACATTAATAAAATGTATAAAAATAATACATTAAATATAAACTGAAAAAATAACTCTGCCCAAGGAGAAGTGATGCTTCTTCATATTAATTTATTATTAATTAAAAATGTTTAAAAAATATTCAAAAAATATTTACTTTTACGTAGACCTAAATAAAGATGGACTAACAAAACAAACATAATAATAAAATCTCATAATACAATAAACATAAGTTATCGATCCTTTAGGCTTACCCAAATTTTTTCAAGACATAGTATTCGTTGCGTGACAGAAAACAACAATCCTTATAATATAATTTTTTTATTTAATAATTATTTTATTGTTTAAAAATATTTTATCTCTTTTAACTAATTGTAATTATAAAATAAAATTATATAGTTTAAATATTTCTCTTTTTAACTAATTTCGTAAAAATTGAATAACATCTAAAAATTAAAACACATATTTCTTATATAGTAGCTTTTGTTTATTTAAAATTATTATTAAATATTTACATATTTTCAACTATAGATTGACCATAGATAAATGTAATGTATACGTATACATCTAGTACAGGTTTAACCTAAGCTATTCCAAATTGCGTGATTTAAGTCTATAACCATAGATTCATGGTTCGATATTTTTTTTTTTTTACTGTTAAGTAATACAAATATTGTTTGTACACACCCAAGAGAACGATAAATGAAAATTATTAATGCAATAACATGATTGACAGCATATCCGGAAGGGAACCCATTGATTGAAGGTGTAATGAATCGGTACGCAGTTGGCGATTTCGTGTCGGGAAACTGCACTTCCGCCAAGTCCTATCCACAGCCATCTATGACATGGTATGTCAACGGTGTTCAGGTGAGTTCAAGTGTATTAGCAAGAAATTAATATTTCAACTTAATTAGATAATATATCTAGTAATAATTGACTCATTTAAAACAATCACTGAATTATAATACTTTCTGGATACTTTTATATGCTTTACATTTTTAAAATCAAAACAAATTGTAGCTACATCATTCATTTTAAGTTTAAAAATTATAACATTATAAATGTATATAAAAAAATATACGTATGGTAATTAGAAATAATTGTACTAATTTTTTTTCTTATTATTATTATTATTATTATTATTGTAATTACTTTAGATAGAGCTCGTTTCTAAAAAAAAATTGTATAAGATAACTACTGAAAAAGTAGGAATCAGATATTATGTTTTAATTCATAAGAAACAAATTATGAAAATAAACACCTAATGCTTAAATTTTCAAACATTCAATATTTTTTCATTGTCCATTTATATATAGTTAAGTACTTATATTACAAACATACCTTTCCATTAAAATCAAATTCTAAATAACCAATAGTATATCGTTTATATAATGTTCAGACTAATTAAATTCTCTATTTTATGGCTTATAAATTCTTGAAAAAATCAAAAATTTAATAAACACTTTTTCAATTTAACATAAAAAAAAAGATTAGTGAGTTCTTTACTAGATTATTTTCTTGCTTAACTTAGCTCCCGTCTAAATTTAATTACATTTGAATAAGGGTTTCTGTTGTAAATAAATATAGATGTATCAGAAGTATGTCAGTGTTGTAAATTTTTAAATGAATTTATCATCGTGTCCTATCTAATTCGAGTTACTTTGGATTTAAACAATATTTTTATTAAAAAAATAATAAAGCCGTTATTTTATTATTTTGGCTACAACATGTATATAATTTACACAATATGGTTTAAAAAAAAAAAAAAATTAATCAAAAACTGAAATGTAGTACTTGTCTAATATTTTTTTCGATAATAATTATTATACCTATGTAGACATTTATAAAAAAAATCGCTATAAATAAACGAGTAAAATAAAAAATTGAGATTTGTACATAATATATAAATTATACTTTTTTTTAATTACAATATTAGAACATTATTTAAAATAAATTACGACAAGGAAATCCCTTAAATTAAGTAAAAGAAAAACTTATTATGTTTCGGATCGTTATGAAGAAGAATTAAAATATAATTGAAAATTTCAAAGTAATATGATAATTTGTTTAAGATAAATAAAATGAATTGGCGAAGATGTCAGGAGGCTGAATTGTAGAGTAAAATGAATTAAAGAGAAAAGTTGAAACTTATTCAAATGTCGAACTACACAATATATATATTGTACATAATGTTCTATTTGATTTGGGAAATATTTTAGTGACATATTACATTGTATTAATATCAGTTTCAGAGTTTATAAATTCCTTAGTACGAAACTTTTCAAAAAATAAAATGAATTACTGGAAATAAGAAATAATTTTTTATTCAATGATGTATAAACTATATACATTTTCAAAGCTCTAATTCTCTGGTTTTAAAAACTTTTTAAAATTAAATCTGAATTACAAATGTACTAAAAATTTAATTATTTTAATTTTAAATAATCTGATGTTGAAAAATGCTAGGTATAATTTATTTATTATTTTATAGTCTTAATCATACAGAGATTATAATTATGTACTCCGTGAATACGAAAAAATTGCGAATTAATAAAGAAAATTTTCTCGGTGTAAATATATATTATAAACATGAACATTTGATTTTATATATTAACGTATAAACAATAATTGAATTGACTGTAGTTGTCTGCTCAACACTTTCATCAGTTTTACTTAAGAGAACGCCACACCCACATGTGTTATCTCCGTCTGATACACATACAACATAGCTAATGCGCGTTCAGTAGTTCAAATGTAGTGATGTTAGCTTTAATATTAAACTGATTTACAATCAAACATTATTGGAAAAAAATTATCGCTTTTTCCAAAATTTTAATTTTCAAGCGAGTTATGAGTTTGTAAAATATTACATTTATAAACTAATCATAACTCACATAAAAATTTTAATATCGGAAAAATCGACCAAAAAAACACAGAATTTGTTTTTTCCTTAATGTATTATTATTGGTAAATTTACTTAATGACTATTAAAGCTAACATCACTACATTTGAACTGCCAAACGCGAATTTGCTATGTTGTATGTGTGTCAGACGGAGACAATAATGTGAGCGCGAATTCCATTTAATCAAATCTGTGTCGGATTTAATGTTATCGTATGTTTTGAAAAAAATTGGCAAAACTGTATTATAAACTATAATATATTACATTATTAATAATTAATTAAAGATTAATGAAATTCAATCAATATATTTTTAATAAAATCATCAGTATTGATATTACAAATTTAATTAATTTATATTCAAATGTATTTTACGTATGTTTTCTATATTATATACAGGCGAACGATAATCAAGTGGAAAACTATCCCGTATTGGTCAACCCTGAAGGTCCACTGTACTCAAAAGCAGTCGGCATCCGATTTAAGGTATGAATACATGCATGTAAATAATATGAATCTACATATTTTTATATTGCTGTAAATGTTTATTATTATAGAAAAAAACACTAAATTATCATAAAATTATTTTTTTTTTTTAAATACATATTTAGTGCAAAAAAAATTAAATAATAATAATATATACGTATTACATATATTATATTATCATATGCAAAATAAAAAAATAAAATATATTAAATGTATAAAATACGAGAGTATAATGAAGCCTAATTGTATTGTTTCTAGCTGTATATATCGATTAAAATCCATTTAAGAAATTATTTTTGACGTATTAAAAAATAGAGTAGGTATCTAATTATAATAAAATATATATATTATAAATAATAAGTATTTAATCTTTTTCAGCTGTTTTATATTTGTTATTATAAATGGGCGGATAAAAAAAAATATTATTTAACAGTTTGAAATTAATGATAATTACCTTATAGGTATAATTATAATAATAAGTATTAAAAATTATTATCGAATTTATGATTTAAATAATTGTTAGATATAAAAATTGAGTGAACGAAAGATACGTTTTACACTTTTGAAATATCGACGATCGTTAGCAGATAATGCACTGTTTTGAAAACATGTTGAACTTTGTACCATATTGCACTCGAAAAACAATTCTAAATGATTCAATGGATATTTAAATGCATTTTCATTAGAAATTTGTTATTATTCATTGTAAGAAAAAGTGTCCATTAAATCCCAATGATAAGTAAGAGTGAGAATAACTCTCCTATAGACACCATTTACAAAATGAGTATCTAACTAAAAATTTAAATTAAAGAAAACTGAGTGAAATTGTTTGACGTGTTAAAAGAAAAAAAACATTAAATGTTTAATACGATAATAATACTGAATAATGCACAGGCCAAAAAACCCAAATGATGGAGTTTGAAAAGAAATTCAATATGGATGTTGCGTGGATACCGGTTGTGCAAAGTATTCGTAATAAAAAGTGCGAGAATTCTATAGATTTTGAGCTTACTTGTGTGATTTGAAAAAAAAAATGAATTAAAATAGTTCAATAAAATAATTTCATTAATTTAATAAATGTAATAAAAAAAATTTGTTTTTAAATTGTCCGTAAAGTTACTGCTTGAAAGTTATTAACTTGAAGAAGTTTTATCGCTACAATATTAGACAAAAATATAATTTATATAATTGCCTTGTTAATCAATAGCCTATGGTATAGGCCCTATACTATACACATAAAACCAAATCAATTAATCTTATTAAAGACTTTGAAATTATAAGAGTCTAATCTGAAATCGGTATGACTTAGATGCAACATCGAAGCGAAAATGCTATAAATTAAATATGTATTATATATAAAATCTTTAAACCCATTATCTAACCAGTAGATATAGTCAAGATACACAAACACCATATATTCTCTATGGTGTCTAATTATATTTATGTGGACACTAATAACTATTTGTTTTAATTAATAATTTGAAAATGAGGAGAAAAATTGAAACAATTAAGAATCATATGATACGGATTGAGTGGAAATTATTCAAATTTTTCTGGTTGACTAGAAATATAGCTCCGTAACAAAACACCACCACTCACATATATTATATGACAACTATATATCATAAATATCACATGCCCGTGAGGATCATAATCCAAGTCACAGTTTGATTACTTGTAAAATAAAAACTACTAAAAATCTCGATTACTAAAATATGCTATTTGTTATTTCGAAAGCAATTGTTCTGTACATTTTTACATCGTTCTCTCTATAATTTACAATAACTAACCATTTTGAAAGTTAAAAACGCATTATTTAATTATCAGAAATAGACAAAGCAAGTTCTTAAAAAATATAGGAAATAAAAATGCACACCATCAATTACGTTTTATTTGTTTTTAAAAAAATTATACATTTTATACAATTTGAAATAGATCACCATTCAAGCCTTGAGCTGTAATTATATTTACATACACAAAGAAAAGTTTTTGATATGGTAGCATCTACATCAGCATTGATGTTAGTGACAGTGAAAACATTCTCACGATAATAGATTTTTAATACCCAGAATAATTAAGCGATAAATTTGTATATCAAGTTAGTTATTGGCAAGCCTCTGGGTCATAAATTTAAAACTTAAAGTTCATTTAACTCAGTGCCTGGCCACTCACTTATTCAACTTGTTACCACTGATGGACGAAATGACAAAACAAATAGTAGATCTGAGGCCTTCGGCATGTGGACAAACGTCCTTCTAAAGACGACTCAAATCAAGAACAATTGTTATTATCGCACGCTCACATTAACTTCAGCGCCAATAGAAGAACGGCTAAAATACTGGGAAGTAGAATCGCATGATCTGGATACAATGAACGAGTTTGCTGCCCTCCGGAAAACGACTGTCAACTTATCATCAAAACTGGAAAACTTTGAGAAGGATACGTGTCGGAGTTGCATGCGCTCTGGGAAAATCTCGCCATAAAGCCATATGGCGATGACACAACGAAAATGATTGTGAAAAACTCGAAGATAACGAGCCTTTACTAAAATGCTTAGTTACCAAACCGCAATATTTCTCAACCGGGAACACCCTCCTTTAAGGAGGCGTAAAAAAACGTTAGGGGAGACGTAAACATTTTTAAAAACATGAAATCGTTAATTCCGATTGTTTATATTTTATCTAGCATTATTTAGTAATTACGTTATCGTCTACTTATGTACACTATCACAGTTATCTCCAAACATAAAAAATATATTTAACTTAAACCGTACTAACCTTCATGTTAATTCTTATTTAATAATAATAAGTATAAAATGTAATATTGAAAAAGTTAATATTATATAATAATAACCTTAAAAATTTAAAAATTTGAAATTAAAATAATATTTCTTTTCTCTGCAAATAAATTCATTACAATTTAATGATATTATGAGTATTTAATGATTATAACAATCATTATACTTCAATATTAAAATGGTTAAAGAAATTACCTCATACAATAGTATGAAAAGGAGAATGGACTTCAAAAGTTTGAGAACTAATGCCATACAGGATCGACAATGGAAAATATTTAAATGGAAAAATAGCAAAATGCTATTGTATAGAGCTAGGTATCTAATATACAGATAAATTTTTCTATTTATATAATATATAAATTTTTTGGCTATACGATGATAAGATACAACAACTATTGTTTTCAAATTAAAATATCTTTAATAGAATGCAAATTTTAACGATTACATTAAAAGGACACTATATATATATATACTAATAGGGTTAGGTGATACTCAAAAATATTTATTATTTATAATTTTTTATAGCTACACAAAAAACTCAAAATTTCACAATTTTCACATAATATTTATATTATAAATAACTTAAAATTCATCATTGTTAGCGAAAAAATAAAAACGCTGCATCATAGATAATATTATTTTCTTTAAAACAAAAAATAAAGAGCCTCTATTATTTATTTACACTGAATGATTTTGTCACGCAAAATATGGTTTTTTTGTCAAAAAATCATAAATAAATGATCATTTTATCTATATAGATCATAGAACACGCGTCACGTACTCGCGTGTATACGCCCTTACTGTAATCCCTATCATCGTCGATCTATGGACCATTAAACCCGGAATACCCTTTTGAGTATCACGTCTTTATGAGTATAATAATGATAACTATTCAAGCTATTTTTATTTTACAACGTAAGAATCACAATATAAACATTCAGAATAATTGTAATTGTTAATTATATCAACTCTTTAAATAATACTAACAATAAGTCAATAATACATTTGAATTACTTAATTATATACATAATTAAACTGTGTACAACGTGTACCGTGGGAATCTAATAATTTTATATGTATAATATATCCTTACGAGACACTTTAAATATGTATACAAGGAATAATTAAATAAATACACAGACTTCAGTATTTTATCACCACAAACAAATGTAACCACTTTATGGGTTAAGACTATTTCAATGTATATATATATATAACTCGAGAGTAAAAAAAAAGATACGACACTTCACATTATTTTATTTTGAATTTAATTCCATTGCTGCTATGCAAATATATCCCAAATTCAAGATCTCGAAAGTTAATCATATTCACCTTAATTACTGAATAAAAAATACATTGAAGTAAATTGATATCTTTATATAAATATTTATATCATACATTTGTACCAGGTATCTATGTTGACTTAAAATCATTGTCTTATAATACACATAATGAATATTAAGTAAAATTTAAGTTCAAAATCAGGGTATTAAATATCTTTCCATAATTTTAAGAACTACAAATAAAATATATTCATATAATATTTATACTCAATATTATTTAAATTTGATACATTAGCTAGGTATTATTATTCGAAACTATAACTAGGTAAATACCATTTTATTGGGAATATAAGACCACACAAAATCGTTTACATCAAATTTAACCATTTTCTTAGAAAGTCAACTCTCTTCTGAAAGAGACTCCACCCCCTTCCTTTAAACTTATCCTTGTTAATAACCAATATATTGTATAATAATCTAATCTATATAAATATATTATACTAATAAATTATAATTTTTTATTTATTCCAAATATCCAAAAAACAACTCACTAAAGTTAGTTTAACTAGTAAGTTAAACGGTTTTTCTAAAACAAATTAAAATTAATAATTAATCTTAGGACTTTTCAAATTTTCAAGACCCTGTGATTTCTGTAAAGTATTAATTAAACTACTATTCTTAGTAAAATAGAATAAATACAAAATATAGTTTTACTAATAAAAACATATTTGTTTTGTATTCATTAATAAATTTATTAATCTAAGGAATGACATTTATTAATTCGGTTAAATTCAGTTTAATTTCAACATACAGGTATCTACAAATAGATTTAAAATGTTTTTATACAAAATAAACTTAAAATATAATAACAAAACGGTTTTTATAAATAACTAGCAGACCCGGCGAACTCCGTTTCGCCACCAGATTCGTTTTATGTAACATTTCGTTTGGTGATTAAAAGATAAAGAAAAAAAATTTTTTTTGTTATATATTTGAAAAGGAAAATATTTATTTCATTTCACAACAGTAATAAATTCATTTCAATTACCTACTAAAATGAAGTGTTATTTAATTGTTTCATTGTAGTGTTTTCATTGTACAATTTAAGTAAACTCTTTGGCCATTTTCCAAATGCACTGCTAAATGTACAACTGTGGGATATCTTTCATGAATTTGAAATGACAATAATCGCCACAGTGCTTCATTAGTACTGACGTATCTGCCCATTTGGAAGTTGCTGATTTCGTCATTCACATTTTCCGACGCAATACCAAACACAGCCATGTCGCTGCCTTTTGTGACGTACTTGCACAAATATTTGATTGATTTGGCCGAATGACAACTCTCAACGTTTGCATGTGTTTCGAAAATTCGTGATAGCAGCGGGCAATATGGTACAATGAATTCATTTCCGATCTCAATCTCTTGATTTTGAACTTTAACTTTGATAGTTCGACCGTTATCTTCTTTTGAACGCCGACGATAAACTGGATATCCATCGTTCCCTGTGACTGTTTCAGCAACTAACGGTCGCGGATATCGTTTTGTGCATTTTCCATCAGCCATGCAAGGCGATAATGGATTTAATGCACCGCACGGTCCATGCACCATCTGTGTCGTCACAATGTCGTGTAGACGGGGATCAGTGACTGGATCAGGAATTTCAGCTGATATGATGTCATCCACTTCATTTGAATGTAATTTGTTCAGCAACCAAATTAGGATATGAGCATGCGGTAGTCCACGCTTCTGCCATTCCACCGAGTACATATAACAACGTGTGTCACCAAAAACTCGATACTTAGTAAGCACATCCATCATAACCTTGAGTTTTTGCTGAAATACTCTGGCGATTATGTCATGGCGATCTTGCGGTTTTTGACCCGGTTCCAACTCGCGTTCAATTTCCGTCCACTTCGGATTGCATATGACCGTAATAAATAAATCCGGAGTTCCATAATTTCGCACGTACGTCATAGCGTCTTGAGCGTATTCGTGCATGTGGCGTGGGCTTCCGATATAAGTTGATGGGAGAATCGTCAGTCGTCCAATATTCTGAACATCACCATCTGAATGAATAGCATCACGCAAGTGTATATAGTCCTCAGATCGTAGCTTTGGCTGATTGAATCTGATGAACGCTAAACGTTCGGTCTCGACTTTGACATACATGTCGACAGCGAATTGCTGGAATAGCCGACCGCACTTCAGAATGACATTCTCCTCATGTGTACGAATCATCATACGATACGCATAGTAATTCATTGCGCTTAGATTTTTATTATTCGTTGATACTCCTGAAAATGCAAAATTAAATGAATTGAAACCAATAAAAGTAATAATGGAAATAATTAGTGTGTGAATATTGTACCTGTAATTGGATCGACCATCTTCAACGTGATGTCGTATCCGTCTTGCCCTTGCCAATAAATGATTGGATATTGTAACGCATCGTACAAATGATATTGCTTCTTCGCTGAACGACAATGTCTCGTGATTTAGTTGGATCGCCAACAATAATTGCAGCAACATCATTAACGGTGGGTGCATTGAATCTTCGCACATGTTCACCTGTTGGAGTACAATCCGCTCTTATGACAAATTTGTGCGTATCCGATGGCATTCGTTCCAATGCTGTTTTGAACATATTAACCACAGCATTATTAGCGTGAAAAAATGCTTGCAACTGTTCAATAATTCGTCTCTTTAACTGTTGTGTATTATATTGTTGTGAAATATATTTGCAGAAATTGATGCGGTTCATCTGGTGTTGGCACCATTGAACCATGCAAATGATATATTTGACCTTGTATCTGTAATTGCAAATAATCATTAAAATTTGTTCATGAATACATTGTAAATCGTGTGATGGTGTAGTGTGTGGTGTATATGAAGTTGTTATGTGTTGCAATTATGGGTTGGTTATGTGTGTTGTATCTTTTACCTTGCAAGTCGGCATGAAGCCGCCTTCTCGAATGATATTAGCTCCAAAGGAAGTCATGCGAAAGCAGTTATTGTATTCAAGGATGTGTTGAAGAAAATGGCTGGAATCGGGATCACTTCCATCAAACAATGTTTTCAGTGGCTGTGGTGGTGTAAGTAATGGATCCAGTTTGACTTTTCCACTTGCGCAGCACAATCCAACCGTTTCTCTTTTGAACTTTACCGCATTGCAATATCGGCATATAGTCGTCATTCGTCCAATATCCAAATTTTCATCATCACTGTAGTTCGCAGTGGGATCATATTGGAATGCCAAGCGATTGTATGATGCCAATGATCTTCGTGTGCTCACGCGATGTCTCAATCGGTCATTTTCTCTTATTATATTATTATATTATATTATATATATTATTATATTCCTTGAATAGACTTGTTGCTGGCTTGCATGTCTTGTGCGGCGGCCGATGTTCGCACGTCGTTCTCTAGGCATTTTGGACTATGGACAGAGTGTTGAATTTAACTTCAAATGCACGATCCACATAATTTACACTGAGCTTAAATGAAATTAACTGAGCAGAGAATAATGACTATCTATCACACACTTTATCACGCACCGTTGCTATTGGTTTGAAGTACATGCTATGTATAATAGATGGCGCTGTATGTGAAAAACGATTTCCCCACTTTTCTGTTGAATTTTTCCTGAATTTTCCAGAATTTTCTTTGCTATAAACCTCACGGAGCCCAAGACCTTTCCAACGAATGCAAAACCGTGGAAATCGGTTCGTGCGTTCTGGAGTTATAGCGTCAGGGAGGAAAACCGGACTTATTTTTATATAATAGATTGTAATAATCTTGTAATAACCTCTATATTTGAATAATAGTATAAGTTACACGCATTAAATACCGAATATATATATAACTTATCTAAATGTATATAATACAATAATATGTGTTAAAAAAATATACAATTTTTGAATACATTAAAAAAAATCTTATTTTTAAATTATAAATAGACCGATGAGTTACATACATTTTTCGGAAAAAAACTGTTTAGAGTGATAAATTTACTATGTAATCAATCGCAGAGCATTTATAAGCTTAATCTAAAATCTAAAATACTTAAGTCTTACTAAGATATGACATTAATTACCACAACCGATCTTAACGTTCAGGCAAAAGTCATCAACATTTTACTACAGCGCAAGGAGAAATATCTCAGCCCTCTTCCCGGCACCTGATAGACTCTTGAGAGAAAAGTACATCCGACAACGTAAACACATTTGAACCATTCAGGAATCTACGTTACCATTTCGAGCTACACGACGTAATTTATTAATCAACATATTAGCCCACAACTCTTCACTCCCTAAATTGTAATATGTTTGATCACCAAGATAAATCTATTCTTGGACCACTGCCCATAGCAAAAGTTACGGAAAAAATGTCTTTGCGTTTCACAATGAAAAAATTAATAAAATTAAATATTTTGAATAGCAAATAAAATATAGTTTTATATAATTAATTACATAATTATAGGATTTTTATAATTATCTTTTTGTCGTACAGTCATTATAAAGTTTTCATCAAATAAAGTTGCAAGAAGTAAGTTTCATTTAATAATAATTTATACTTGATCTACATAAATAATTTGATTGTATGAATTGTCAGTGATAACTCGTAACCAACGTACGTGGTTACTTAGCTCTATAATCTTTAAAAACTATGAGTTTTATAACTGTGTTTTAAATTAACATATTAAAATGTTCCATATATATATATATATATATATATGTGAGTGAGTGAGTGAGTGTGTGTGTGTGTGTGTGTGTGTGTGTGTGTGTGTGTGTGTGTATGTGTATGATCACAAATACAAGTACCACTAAATAATTTAGCTGAGTGACCTTGCATTGAAATTAATATTTCAGAAGGCTTAGAGGGTACTGAAATACACATATTTTGACAATTTTTGAATTTTTAACCCTTACAGTACTCGCATGCGCAATAAATTGTTTAACGGCCATCTTCCTCTTTTTCTACGTATTTGTATAGATTATTTTTTTTTCAAACAATTTTTGTACAAAAAGTTTTTCCTCTATCTTCAAAATTGATTAAATGAAAGTACCTAAGTTAAAATTTGAAATTATACTTTATTGGTTTTTTATGAAATTTTTACCTAAAGCTCAAAGTTATTAAAATAGTGTAAAGTAATGGAATCTCATTTTCAGTACGCAATACTTTTTTAATTAAAATAACAAAAAATAGTTATGATAATAATAATAATAACAATAATAAAATTGGCAGTAATTGTAGTAGTAGTAGAAATTTATAATGCAGAAAACAATGCATTCATTAAATGTATCTAATGAATAGTTTAAAGTTTTTATTTTACACATGATTCGGGCTTTCTCAATATTTAGTTGATGTTATCGTTTTTATTAAGACTTTTCTAATATCGTCACATGTTGCCCGTATTTTTTTTATAAGTCCTATAAACTGTTATGTGAATCTACGTAAAACACATATTTTAAATCTCCTTATAAAAAAAAAAAATCGAAAGGCGTTAAATCTGGAGATCATGACGGCTAAGAAACAATGATATTATTACCAATTCAACGATTTGAAAACATTTAATTGTAAATGTTAACTGGCTTTTAATATTAAACAAAAGATTAGTTTTCCAAGGCAAATACAAATTTTAAACTTTTTATACGACACGAATATTTTGCTTGTATTAGAAAAACTAGTTATTTTATCAATCACAATTAATAGAAAAGAGAAGTTCACTTTCACAGCACTTACTGCTACAAAACAATATGCCCATCTAGTAGTTGAAAGTGATTTCAAAATTTAAACTTTACATTTGTAGATTAAACTATTTGGAAAAAATCACAAATTTTCATTTTAAAGGCAGGGAGTTGCTTATCTTTCTCGTTATCTTTGCTCTAAAATGTAATGAATATACTAAGTACAAGTATAAAACAAAATTTTACTTATAACATTAGGTTATCTTAAGTTTATTAGAATTTATAAAAAAAAAACGAAAATAAATAAACAATACTCGTATATTGAAAACATTATTACTTTTTTAACTTACTATATTTCCAGTAATTTTAAAAATTTAAGTAAACGTAAACTCCTCATATCTTAAATTTTTTTTTAATAAAAAAAAAAGTTATTATTTACGACTAAAACTTTATTACAAAGTATTACCTATAACTTATATTTATAAGTTCATAATTTATTTAAACTCAATTATATTGTTAGTAGTCAATGAATTTAAAACTACAATATTGATTACTGATAATGAGTGTTGATTGCTAATAATACTAACGACTGAGGATTATCAGTGGCTACTCCGGACTTAAGTATATAAGAATATCAAAAAACACAAATACATACATTATAATAGGTCTTTGCTATAAATTTATTTCTTCTATTTTAATTATTTTTATAATTTTGCTATTATTATTATCTATTCAAACATTTACCTCAATAGCTATTAAATATTACTTCATATTGTATATTAACTAAATACATTATATTACCTAATAGTCGAAATATAATGATGACAATTTAAAATTAAAAATAATATCTTAGTAAATTATATATAAATATATAATTATATAAATATTTACATTCTAAAAATTGTAATTGTTACAAACTGAATAACTCGAAAATACAAACTTACATTTTTATACTAGTATGCAATTCAATTATTCTAGTAAACATAATAATTCATTAATAATCAAGCTACAAATTATAATAAAAAAAAATTAAAAATACAAAAGATTTTTAATGTAACTTCACAAATTTTATTCTTTGTGGAAAATTTGTGATTTTTAGTTGGCATATATTTTATAGATCTTTATAACAACCTAAAGTTCATTGTATCATCAAAAAATATTGGTAAATTATGAAAACAACCCATAACAAGTTTACTTTATTAGGTTAATTTATTTCATCAATTGAAAAGCTTAATTCAAACATCAAAAAAATGGCTTCATATAATATGTGATTTCGCAATCTTACTTGAAATCTAAATAAGCTATTTATTAAGAAAATAATAGTATTTTTTAAAACCCATTCTCTATAATTTTTTATTTATGTTTTGATATTTAGTTATTCATTATATACAATCTGCCATAAAATTATGATATTTATTTAGATAGAAAAAAATCATTTCCAAGGACCCCATGCAGAGCTCGATTTAACCTGTGAAGCTAGTCTAGTCCAAGGTCAACTCAAGTGGCGAAAAATGATTGTTATCCAGCCACTCACACAATCGTATACAGAAAATATGTTCCTGGAAAATTACAGAAACAACACAAGTGCAAAAAAACCTGGTACACTTTTAAAATTAGTATTTAATATTAAATAGTGTATCTATTACTTATACAGAATTTATATTGCATTTTGTCAACAGGAATACAGCTCTCAACTTTGGTGGCTATATTTATTGTATCATTCATACTCATAGTTGTACTCGAAACGTGACAGCAAAACCATTTTTTGTAAATATAAAAATATGTAAATCAAATTTATTTCACTCTTCCTCGAAATGTATGTACTATCTACTTTCTATTTTAACATGTGTCAATAATTGAATAATTTGAAAATTAAAATAATGTTAATTATTGAATTAAAATTGTATTAAATATACATATCTTTTATTATTCTAATGAAGATCATTTAGGTTTTAACAGTTAATTTTATTAAATAAAATGAAAGTTAAAAATTTAAATATACATTTTTATTAAAAAAATAATTGAATGGTAAATTTACTTTTATAAATAATGTAATTATTTATTTTAATTTTTAAATTAACAGGCATAACTTATGTACGATCGGACAGAATTGTCTAAAATATACATCGATAATAATATGAAATACGTAATGTAATTTACGGGTAAGATAAAATTAACAACAGTAATAACAATAATAATGAATAAATATATTTCCCTAGAACACATGCACCAAACGTTATCAGCTGATTGCTTTTATTATTTAATAGTTAATTATATAAACACATAATATGTATACAGTTTACCCGTAAAAAATTACTTTTGCCGATTTCAACCCTTTAAAATCAAATTTTGAAAAATCCTTTCTTTATGCACGGTGAAATTATAATATTAATCAATCCTCAACATTTCAAGTCGGTAACTCTAATAGGTTTAGCTCTGCATTGATTATGAATTAGGGAGACAATTTCGTTTATATATAGATTATAAATGATTAGAAATATTGTAATAATGTATTATACATTGATAAATACTAAATAAATTCATATAAAAATAAAATGTTTTAAAACAGCAAAAACTTTCACAAATAATTTGCGTTATACAATTTTATTTTGTTTTATTTATAAAACAGAATTTTATATTATATATATTTCATTTATTTAGAAAAATATAAATAGACTATAACAATCAGTTGTTGAGTATATTTTCAATTCATGTTTATGTTATTAGTGATTTTAAATTAGATGGTGATGGAGGTATTATGCTGTCAAATTTTAAATGGGTACACACAAGCACAATTTGTCGATATTTTCAAAGTGTACATTCGTGCACTGTATACGTTTACTCTAATCTAAAACTTGAAATTATAATACCAATAACCATAAATTATTTTCAAAGGAGCATATAATTCCAAACATATCATATAAAATGAAACCGGATAGAAATAATTTCATAATTAATTTAAAACATTTTCACGTGAAAATATATAATCAACCAAATATTTGATAAGTCGATTTTAATAATTGTTTAAAATATATAATCTTATTGTATTCATTTTTATTCGAGGGTTTTAAACACATTGTATTGTAAAATATTTAAACATTTAAACAAAATAAATACAATACAATTATTTATTAATTTAATCGTTATCTGTGATAAATGAAATATTTTTCTGCATCCAATGAAAAATACAAGATTATATAAACATAGAAAAGTTTTTGGGAAAACGAATACAGATGGAAAGTGATAATTTAATATAATTGGGAGTGGTATGATAATTTGATACATTGTTGAGTGTATGATGATAATGAATGATATGAAGGATAATGGGAAATATAATAATAAAAATAGGTCGAGTACTAGAATGACTCAAGCAAAATAGCTTGGAGTGAAGGATCAATGAAAAGAAAAATATATAAATCAAACTTCAAAAGTTTAGGTACATAAAACAAATAAAAAAAATTGAGAAACTGAATACAAAAAAATGGCTTCAAACGAATTCCATCCCAAGGTGATAAAATAGTGCATGAGATGCGCTCTATGAAAAAACCGTGACAACATTTTTTTGAATGATTATAGGATGTATCTAGTTATATTCTCTCGTTATATTTTCCTTTATGTTATACAAACTTGACGATAATTAAATTTCAATATCAATAAGGTAAAAATGTTAATGGATTAAGTATACTTATAAGTATATTTCAAATACTGTAATTATTTTAAGTTTGATAAAAATGTAAAAAAAAATATTTTTTGTACATTAAAATAAGTATAATTCTTTGCGTAATACTTCCCAAGTTGTACGGAGGGTTCCAGTGGGTGTATATTCCTCCCCCCCCCAAGTTCTGAGTTTAGGCCCTGATATAGGTATTATTTTCTCGAGATGTTACACGAGAGTTTTTTCGTTTATATAAGAATTACATTTTAAATAATAAATTATTAATGGGTAAAACATTTTTGTGTCTTAATATATTAATAACCTAACCTACCTTATAATAATAATATAATATCAAAGGACCCTTCCATAAAAAGTTTCTAAAAACCTTTATTGCTTCTTTTCATACATTATTTACGTAAAAAAATGATTATCTATCAGTAATTTTATAACTGTGTCCATTGTGTTGTTGAGGAATATTGAAAAACTTCGTAGCTTTATTCGCTGTAATTTTGTAGAACAAAATAAAATAAGAAAACAAAATCACGTCCGTGAAGTTGGCCCTCCCACTTTGTCTTATCGAATTCAAACCTTCACTAATATTTTGGAACTAATTTGGAACTATTTGGAACCAACTTTTTATAATTTGGAACTTCACCCTTTTCTCGAAATAAGAAATTTTCAGTTGGGGGGCCAACTTCACGCAGCCCCCCCACTTTGTCCTATCGACTTCAAACCTTTACCAATATTTTGGAACTAATTTGAAACTATTTGGAACCAAGTTTTCATAATTTGGAACTTCACCATTTTCTCGAAATAAGAGATTTTCGGTTGGGGGGCCAACTTCACGCAGCCCCCCCCCCTCCTCAATTTGTCCTATCGACTTCAAACCTTTACCAATATTTTGGAACTAATTTGGAACTATTTGGAACCAAGTTTTCAGAATTTGGAACTTCACCCTTTTCCCATAAAAAAGATTTTAGGTTGGAGGGGAATAACTTCACGCAGCCCCCTCCCCACTTTGTCCTATCAACTTCAAACCTTTACCAATATTTTGGAACTAATTTGGAACTATTTGG